GCTTCCCACCGCCCCCGCTGCTGCTCCCTCGTTCGGGGCTTTGCTCATTTTGTGTCTCTCCCCTCAGTCTGCAAAACCTGCATCGTTCGCTACCTGGAGACGAACAAGTACTGCCCCATGTGTGATGTCCAAGTGCACAAAACCAGGCCCCTGCTCAGCATCCGGTGAGGCTTCCTGGGGCTCCCCCCAGGCGGGGATGCAGCGCGCGGGGATGTAGCGTGCCGGGATGCAGCAGACCGGCGTGCATTGCATGGGGATGCTGCGCTCGGGGATGCGCTGCACCAGGATACGGCGCACGGGGATGTAGCGTGCCGGGATGCAGCAGACCGGCGTGCATTGCATGGGGATGCTGCGCTCGGGGATGCGCTGCACCAGGATACGGCGCGCGGGGATGTAGCGTGCCGGGATGCAGCAGACCGGCGTGCATTGCATGGGGATGCTGCGCTCGGGGATGCGCTGCACCAGGATACGGCGCGCGGGGATGTAGCGTGCCGGGATGCAGCAGACCGGCGTGCATTGCATGGGGATGCTGCGCTCGGGGATGCGCTGCACCAGGATACGGCGCGCGGGGATGTAGCGTGCCGGGATGCAGCAGACCGGCGTGCATTGCATGGGGATGCTGCGCTCGGGGATGCGCTGCACCAGGATACGGCGCGCGGGGATGTAGCGTGCCGGGATGCAGCAGACCGGCGTGCATTGCATGGGGATGCTGCGCTCGGGGATGCGCTGCACCAGGATACGGCGCGCGGGGATGTAGCGTGCCGGGATGCAGCAGACCGGCGTGCATTGCATGGGGATGCTGCGCTCGGGGATGCGCTGCACCAGGATACGGCGCGCGGGGATGTAGCGTGCCGGGATGCAGCAGACCGGCGTGCATTGCATGGGGATGCTGCGCTCGGGGATGCGCTGCACCAGGATACGGCGCGCGGGGATGTAGCGTGCCGGGATGCAGCAGACCGGCGTGCATTGCATGGGGATGCTGCGCTCGGGGATGCGCTGCACCAGGATACGGCGCGCGGGGATGTAGCGTGCCGGGATGCAGCAGACCGGCGTGCATTGCATGGGGATGCTGCGCTCGGGGATGCGCTGCACCAGGATACGGCGCGCGGGGATGTAGCGTGCCGGGATGCAGCAGACCGGCGTGCATTGCATGGGGATGCTGCGCTCGGGGATGCGCTGCACCAGGATACGGCGCGCGGGGATGTAGCGTGCCGGGATGCAGCAGACCGGCGTGCATTGCATGGGGATGCTGCGCTCGGGGATGCGCTGCACCAGGATACGGCGCGCGGGGATGTAGCGTGCCGGGATGCAGCAGACCGGCGTGCATTGCATGGGGATGCTGCGCTCGGGGATGCGCTGCACCAGGATACGGCGCGCGGGGATGTAGCGTGCCGCGGCCCCCACTCGGGGCCGCGTTCCTGGGCTGATGGGTCCTGGCTCACGCAAGCCTAACGACCGGCCTGGTAATTAACCTGCCAATCAAGCGACAGGGCTTGCTTTTTCATTAGCTCGCTGTAAATTATAAAGCAAATTCTCTGTGTGCGTATTACAAATAAAATCACAGCGGGGCCTCCTGAACCGGCGTGACATCAGCGAGGAATTAGGGATGAAAGACATGCTTAGGCTAAAAATAATATGGGAATAACTGGTATGGTCATTTGTTTTTCTTGAAAATAAAGGCCTTACTATTAAAATGGAAATAATTGCAGATATAATTTACTTTTCGCCATCCCTGCTGCTCTTGCTTTGTTTTGGAGATTTTTTTTTTTTATTCGGCTGAGCCGCTGCTTTTAAATTGTGCCAAACGCCCTGCGTGCAGTTTTAAAGAGCCCAAACGTTTCTGCAAAATACCAGTCCCTACCGAGGGCTCTGCTTAGGACGGGACTTCAGGCTCCCCTGTTGTTTGAGCGCTTTTGAGGGTCTTACCCTGAAATGGGGTAAAATAAAGCTCATCAGCATCACTTTATTCTGCAACAACTTGAATTTGACTCTGTCCTGCAATATTTGCAAGTGAGGGAACTCACAGCCGGAGCCGCAAACTGTAGCTATGCTTAAAGATAAAATAAGACGCAGATTAAAACTTGCAGAAGCGTTCGCTGATCTTAGATTTTTTTTTATATAAGAACTCGGTACGCGTTTGCAGTGCATTTTGCTCCCGAAACGGCTCCCGGCCCCCCCAAACCGTGCCGCCCTCCTCCCG